GATCATAGATCACTCAGTTGGTAACACTAACAAGTGAGGTGAACTGGAGAACCAGATTAAATCAGGGCAACCTTATGAGAATGACTATTAAAAGGAACCCAGACTGGAAAATTAAGAACCTGAGAATGTTAGCATAATCAGTAAAGAAGAAATCCTAAGACTACAGAAAACATTAGGCCATATAGGCACACATGCTGTGTTCTAATGGTTTAATAAAAGGAAACTGGCAGGCCTGTAAGCAAGCCATTAGAGACTGCTTGCCACCTCTGTTTAGTACTTAAAACTAGATTCAGACAGCAAGTACCAGCTGTAACATGGCCTCCTATACAATGTAATTATGAACTACAAGCAGATTTCATTGGACCCTTGAATACTTATAGGGCCCTATATGCCTGCACTCTTGTATATTTAATAAGCCTGAGGTTTTGGTAGCTAGAAAGTCATAGACTAGGACTAGTTGACAATGAAATACACATTCTGGTGTTAGATAACCAGATACAGCTGCCTAAAAAATTACTGAATCACATTAAGGAACACACTTTACAGGTTCTAAAGTCCAGAGCTGGTTCTAGACTATGAACATACAGTAGGTCTTCCATTTAACATATAACCCAACTGCAGCTGGCAATACAAAAAGATGGAATGGACTGCTTATAACCAAGTTATTACAACTCAAAGACACCCTTGAAAAAGGCTATTGAAATTGCATGTTAGGAGTTAAATACCAGACAAAGATTGAATAGAGCTTCTCCCTTAGAAGAAGCTATTAAATCAGACTTAGATACAGAACAACAACCAGACATATCCTGACCAGGCAGAATAATTCAGAAACACTCATAATGTTCAAGGGGATTGTTAAAAAAAATAGTACACACATTGACAAATTTGTGATTTCTGCATTTACCACATAAGCTACAATAATTACGAATATATATAGTATTTGCAAAATAATAAAGGGGATGGAGAGAATAAGCCAAAAACAAAATCAGGAAAATATAGTCAACTTTTAATCAAAAGACCAAAGAAAACCCAGTTAGGAAAACTGTGATCTTGACCAATGCTATCCAGCTACCTATGATTCCATGTGTATAGAAATTTAATAAACACAGACTTCACAGCTCTCACAAAATTAACTCAAAGTGACCCTTAAACTAGTATGTTTCTTATCCTCCAGCTATTGATATTTCTTCCAACAGAAAGGCCACATGCTCTAGAGCCCTCTCTGCAAATGTAGGTGATTTCCTCTAGAACCTACTATGGCTTTACAGCCCTTCATGCTCCCTGTAGTTCATGCAAACCCAGAACCAAGGATGTCCAATCACAAAACAATGTAGAAAAATAATTCAATGTCTTCTCCCTGCTGCATGGATTATGGCACAAAATATGGCATCTGCCCAACAATGTAAACCTGAGAAACCTCTGCAGCTCAGAAATCCCTTTTGTGCAATGGAACTAAACTTCCCTGAATCACATCATTGTGGCTGGTGGTAGTATAAAGTTGAAAGCATTCTAATCATATATTGCTGAAGGATTATGACCTCCTTACTTCCAGTTTCTAAACTATCTGTAACATTTATAGGACAAATGAAAGTGGAATACAACATTCAAAACTTCTGGAAACCAGACCTTCAATTTTCCAATCTGTCTTCCCACTGCATACCAAAAACAGTGCCTGGGTGTACACACTGGACAGTGATATTACCAGCATCTTAGCCAGGGCAAGAGCCTCTTGCGCCCCCACGGAATTTACATTCATTGCGGCTCAGAGGACAAAGGCCACTGCCCAAGTCATCATATGGACCAAGAGAACCATAGTCTGGCTCATGGTCCATCCTAGTCCCAGCAGCTATGACAGCTCAGCAGATTGCTCCACCTGGCCCGGAGGCCTCCACACTCACCATGTCATGGCTTGTGGTCTTCCTTAAAGTTCCCTACAGCAGAACAAAGGAGAATCCTGGAAAGAACCCGTAAGCTACCTCCCAATGGTGCTCCTGATTGCTAAGCCTTCCCAGAGTTAGGACCTCCCAGCTGGGGCTCCAGACATTAGCAGTAACCTCACTGGGTAAACAGAGATCAAATGACTCAGACAGCACAGGCAATCACAGCTCTACCCTTCTACCCTAAGATCACACAGGGACCTAGTATGAGAAATGTGTAGTTTAGTAGAATCTTCTATTCTCCCAGAACACTTCCTGTTCCTCTTCCAAGGCACAGAGTCCTTGGTGTGCACATTCCAATACACATTCAATGTCCAGTGCAGTGAACCCTTTCCTTCATAGCTCAGAGGTCCTGCAGCCAAACACAGGTCACATTCAAACAGTAACTGTTGTTAAAGCAAAAATAGGAGATGGATTAGAAAACAATCAAGTGTCTATGGGAGGGCTTGGATACAAGAAAGGTAGTAGAAATGATATTATTATAATTCTAAAAAATCACGTTAGAAAGTTGAATCAGGCTTCATGGCCATGAAGACTAGGGATTTATATCAGAGCACACCAAGTACTACTCACACAATTTCCTCTCAGGTTATCATCTTAAACCTGGAAAACAGTCATTTTAAGCAGGGCCACATATTTTATCCAGTTCCATTTTGGTGGAACTAGTGTAACTACAGTTATTTGTATTCACAAAAGTTCAGTTTATCCAGATTTTTATTGTCTGGTCTGTGAACCAGAAAAACGGCCAGTCAGGACACTTACTGATCATCTAAAATTGATCATCTCACAGCTTATTTCTAATGTCAACTACTGTCAAAGAAGGAAAGCTTTTACCCTCCTTCTTGCCTCTCCCTTTCTGTGCTGTAACTACATCTGCTTTACAGTTGTTCAGGGAACTCAATTCTTACACAGGTCCCTCTTCATTTGTAAGTCCCCCCCCCCAAAGTCAAAGGAGTTGGAGAACACTCATTCACTGGTCTATTTTTCCTTCTCACAGAACAGTCAAGGTCCAGCCTGGTAGGAGCTGCAGGACTGTCTTCCCATCTATTTGCAGTAGAGGCAGGAGTAAGTGTTCAAAGCAATTCTCAATTACATAGTGTGAGGCAAGCCTGAGCTATAGGAGACATTGATCTAAACCAGTGGATCTCAACCTTCCTAATGCCATGACCTTTTATATCGATATCTCTGTTTTCCAATGGCCTTAAGTCACTCCTTTGATAGGGTTATTAGATCCCTTAAATGCAGCCTCAACCCCCAGGTTGGGAACCATTGCTCTAAACTGATATAAATAAATAAATAAATAAATGCATACATACATAGCAATTAAGAAAAAAATTTAATGAAATTCTTAATGACAGCAAAATATCGGGAAACAGAAAGAGAGATTAGAGCAGTAATACATTTAAAGAAAATGAAATTTGGCTGGGTGGTGGTGGCATACACCTTTAATCCCAACACTTGGGAGGCAGAGGCAGGCAGATCTGTGAGTTCGAGGCCAGCCTGCTCTACAGCGCTCATTCCAGGACAGCCAGGGCTACACTAAGAAATGCTGTCTTGAAAAACCAAAAGAAAATGAAATGTTAAAACTGACACCAATAACTGACTTTTTAAAATGATTAAAAATAATTGGAAGAACACTTAGCTATACTGACTTTGAAACAGTAGGCACTTTCCTAGTAGGAAGAATGACATTAACAAGACACTGTATCACTTTGTCACATGTAAAATGTTAGCTATTAAGTGTTGTAAGCTGACACATGGAGTTATAGCCAATGGCCTGTGTCTCAAACCTCTGAGCTGACTTAATTGTGTCAACCAGGATTACATTATCTGCATAGGAGAGTTCCCTAACTGAAAACTGAATAGTTCAAGTTACTCTCCCTAAATTGTACACCCACCAATTCTGTCTTCATATGGAAGGAATTAATACAAAGGATTAAATTACACTGTCACTCACTCTGCCCTAACAGGTCCTTCTTTAGGATGGAGATCCCTAAAGCTCACTCCCTTAAACTTTCAGTCTCTGATCTAGCTATTGTCTAGTCTGTTTCCCGATGCAGTGTACCCAGTACACTGTTCTTCCTCTTCTGGTCTGAAAGGAGAAGCTGTGCTCCACACCCAAATCCTTTTCCTGTTACTGAAATCGACAGTCCACTATGTGACTGATAATTTTAGAACTCTGTGGTGCTGCAGACCTGTAATCCAAGAATTTAAGATGACTAGTCAGGAGGATAACAAGGGCAATGCACTACAGACAGGGTTCAAGTCCACCTAAATCTGTATAGGAGACCTTGATTCAAAACCACTTTTCAAAAACGCTGGAGATGTAGCTGTTCTGAATTACCATATCTTCATGCACACCAGGACTTACTGTTGGTTGTGACCCTGTAATGGCTCCTTGAGCAACACATTAGAGGCCAGTTTTTTAATGGACGGATGGGCCTTTTTGCTGGTTGTAAATCAGGCTTGTCTCCATTACTGAACAAACATTTACACCTTATCATGCTAATCTCTAACAGAGTATTGGGGCATTTGAGAGGCAGCCCTCCCCAGGTTAATCCTACTTTTTTACTCAGTGTCTCCTAAGAATTGGTAAATCCTTATACCATCAATTCTACTCTTCCACATCACAGTTTAGCAGTGGAGTGCTACTCTACAAGGAGGTACTGTTTACAAGCTCCACAGAATTAACTCCAAACGGATCCTCCACCTAAAATGTTAAAAGTGCAGAACTTCTCCGAGTTTGGCAAATCTGCCTTACATAGTGACGTTACAGGCACCACAGGCACCGACATTTCACAGTGACGTCTACAAGGATATTTTTTATGCACAGTTCCGCTCCTAATGCCCTGCGCAGATGCAGCCTGTGGAACGAAGTTACTCAGAGGCTGGCGGCCAGTCCCTGGGATGAACCAAGCAGGACTTCTCAGGATCAGGCAGGAACATGCGGAACTCTGCGTCTGGCCGCTGGCTCCCACCCAGGCGGGGGAGGACCCACCACACCTGCTCCTGTGGCTCAGCCAACCGCTCCACCCAGTCTGGGGACAGCGGCCGCTCACTCACCATGGTGCGACTGCCGCGTTTGCCTGGACTCTTCCCACAGGACAGCCAAAGTCGCAGCAGCAACTTCCGTCTTCCTCAGCAAAGGCGCAGAGCCTGGCACCCGGAAGAAATCCTCCCAGTTGACTGGAGAGCCCATGGGAGGCTCTGATTGGCTAGTGAGATATGACTGGCAGGACCCAGTGAGCTGAAGGACAACAATGCAGGGTCGTCCGTCCCCGTCCCCGTCCCCGTCCCCGTCCCCGTCCCCGTCCCCGGCCCCTTCCAGTCTCTGGCTAATGTAAACTAATGGATACCGTTTTAAAAGGAAGTATACAAATTCAGAAGGAGGCTAATCAGACAATGTTGCACAAGAGGAACACAGGGTAACTCAACATTATTATCAAGGTCCACAATGGCATTGGTACTAATAACCACAGACCAATGTGTGGAGTTGGGTTATCAGTATCTGAATAACCCTTCCCAAAGGCCCTGGCCCCAGACCTTTACAAGCTCTCCCAAGCATATTTCTGGTTTTAGAGAAGGAGCTTTGTTTTGCATCAGGGCCTTAGAGAAAGCTCCCGAGGCCAGACTTGGAGAGGCCGAGTTTCTCAAACATCTTCTGGAAGTTCTGCACTTTGCATTTGACATTTGGGTGTAAGATACATTTGGAATTCATTTGTGGAGGTTGTACATAGCATCTCATGTGTTGAGTAGAACTCCACTAATAAACTATGATGCAGAAGAATAGAATTGTTGATATAAATGATTTACCAGTGCTTAGGAGATTGTAAGTCACACAATGGAGAATTTAGCTAAGGGAGCGGTGGCCTCTAAAATACCCCAAAGATAAGCAGTATGTTAACCAGTCCTGTTAGAGATTAGGATGTTATGATATAAATGTTTGTTCACCTTTTATGAATACTGTGGTTGATCATACATCTGTGGTTAAAACAGCTAATGAGAAGCTCATCCATGGAGAGGATAGAAAGACCCTCTGTGTATAGATATCTCTGTGGTAAGCTGGAGTAAGATTGATTACTTAGTTGTGTTGTACAGGGTGCTGTACACATCGATTTGATGATGTTTTGTTATATATTTGTTATTTTTTTGTATTGGCTACATATACCTATTAAAAACCAAAAGCATAGTTATACTAATGATGCCAAGTATTATATGAAGACTGACTGCCTTGTGTTTTCTCTGTGGTTTAGTTTAATAGATTGTACCTAGGAAATATTAATTTATTATATTATCTTATTCACAGTTTTTATTCAACTTTTTTTCTTTAATTATTGTTGCTCAGCACTATCTTAAGACAAATAACTGCCATTGTCCTATGATCAGCTGTGCCTTCTTACAAAGGATGACCACCACTGGGTTTGCTGACTGTTGGTATTCCATCATAGAAGAAGGCATCCTCTCCTTCTGGTATACATACCCTTTCACAGGCAACTGTATGCAGTTCAGTCCTAGTGACATGTGACCTTGTGGTTTAGGGAGGAGCTAGAGTATATAACCTGGGAAAGACTTGGGAGGAGGTGGATTCTACATGTGCACCTATGAGAAAGCCATCTTTTAAAGTGGGAATTTAGCTTGAGTGCTATCAGGCTTACTTCCTATGCCCACAGAAAAGCACATACTTATATTTGTTGATCTAGAAAAAGTCTTTGTCTCTGGTGGAAGTAAGGCAGGGTGAGGAACCATTGTGCTGTGTCTTTCTTAAAATATTTATTTATTAAAAAAGTTTATTTATTATGTATAGTGTTTTGCCTGCATGCGTGTCTACACACTGGAAGAGGGCACCAGATCTTATTATACTCTATGTTCCCCTTGTGTCGAGTCATTTGAGTAGCCCCTCCTAAATTTTTCCCATCATATGATGCTTCCTGCTACTTCAGAAGTCTCCTATTCCTTCCATCCCCCCCCCACCCCCCTGCACCGGGAGTAGTATACAAGATGCTATTCTTGTTTTTGTTTTTTTTTTGTTTTTTGTTTTTCAAGACAAGGTTTCTCTGTGGCTTTGGAGGTTGACCTGGAACTAGCCCTTGTAGACCAGGCTGGTCTCGAACTCACAGAAATCCACCTGCCTCTGCCTCCCGAGTGCTGGGATTAAAGGTGTGCGCCACCAACGCCCGGCTGCAAGATACTATTCTTAAGAAGCTTAAATTCCACCATTCCGGAGGCAGAGGCAGAGGCAGAGGCAGGCAGATCTCTGTGAGTTCATGGCCAGGTCACTGGTGTACCTAAGAATTTATTCTAGGATATATCTTTGCTGTGTAATCCTCCCATATGCCTGTGGCTAGACCCACAGGATGCCTGTCTCTATTTAATTTGTTCAAAGTGTAACCTGAAGCATGAACCTAAAAGACACTTAAGGAGGATGGCATATTTGGAATGCAAGTGTGTCTAAGCTGGCTCTTTGAGTATTAGCTAGAGATGGATGCATACCATCAATAAAGAGATTTTTCTTTATTAATCTCCCAAGTGTGTGAAGCAATTTCTCCCTGGAAAGACATATTAATTCTAGGACAGCTGCATTTCCGTCTTGTTAGAAAAAAAATGTTTCTGAGACAAACTCTCTTACGTTGACTTAGGTGGCTTTGATTCCACTCTGTTGCTCTCTGAGACACTCTATTTGCACCTCCAAAATTCTTAAATTAAGTGACAGTATCACCTCAGAGATTTAAAATTGTCCATTTGAGTCATGAAGTCAACTATCCAAAGCAGTCACAGGAAATGGATTTGCATGTGGAGCATTGCTTCTGTCTTCAGAACAAAATAGGAGGCATAGTTTTTTGTGTACACTGCAGGGAAACAGGGCAGACAATCAGCTACTGGAGTCACCATCAGGAAAAGGGACCTGATTGTAGTATCAGTGATATTTTTGTAATTTCCCAGCATGTTTTAATTCATGTCATGTGAATGAACACAGACCAGTGTGGGTGTAAAACTTGGAAAGGTTATCTTGAGCCAATGAATATTGAATTTGCAATTAGGCAACTATCCTATGCAGATATGGATGTGCAATCCTTTAAGTCGGCTCAGAGGTTTGAGGCATAGGCCATTAGCTGTAACTCCATGTGTCAGCTTACAGCACTCAGTAGCTAACATTTTACATGGGACAAAGTCACACAGTGTCTTATTAATGGCATTCTCCCTACTAGAGAAGGGCCTACTCTGTTTCATAGTCAGTACAGCTAAGTGTTCTTTCAGTTATTTTTATCTCCTTTAAAAATCAATTATTGATAAAATTTTTTAAAATTTCATCTTCTTTAAATGCATTACTGCCACAATCCCTTTGTTTCTATTTTCCATTGTTTCCTGGTTTAAGAATTTCACTTCATTTTTTTCTTAAGTGCTGTTTATTTATTTATTTATTTATTTATCTATTTATTTATTTACTTATATGTATCAGTTTAGAGCAGTAGTTCTCAACCTATGAGGTCACAGCTCCCTATGGGGGGCTCAAATGACCCTATCACAGGACTGGCCTAAGACCACCGGAAAACACAGATGTTTATATTACAATTCATAACAGCATAATTATAGTTTTGAAGTAGCACTGAAAATAACTTTATTTATGGTTGGTAGTCTCCACATCATGAGGAACTGTACTAAAGGGTCACAGCATTAGAAAAGTTGAGAACCACTGGTTTTGATCAATGTCTCCTGTAGCTCAGGCTCACCTCACACTATGTAATTGGGAATTGCTTTCAACACCTAATCCTGCCTCTGCTGCCCAGTGTTGCAATGGCAGTCATGCAACTCCTTCCAGGCTGGGCCTTGACTGGTCTCTGGGAAGGAAAAATAACCAGTAAATGAGTATTCTCCAAGTTCTTTAGATTTTGATGTGAATTTACAAATGAAGGAGGAACCTGTGTAAGAATTTCATTCACCAAGTGCAAAGCAGGTGTAGTCACAGAACAGAAAGGGAGGGGCAAGAAGAAGGAAAAAAGATTTCCTGCCATGGCAGTAGTTGACATTAGCCATGTGGAGTCAGGTAATCAATTTTAGATGTTCCATAAATGTCCTGACTGTCCATTTATCAGTTATACAAGTCAGGCAATCAAGAATCTAGATAAAGAGCCGGGCGTTGGCTCAATCACAGCACTCGGGAGGCAGAGGCAGGCGGATCTCTGTGAGTTCGAGGCCAGCCTGGTCTCCAGAGCGACTGCCAGGATAGGCTTCATAGCTACACAGAGAAACCCTGTCTCAAAAAGCAAAAAAAAACCAAAAAACAAAAAACAAAAACAAAACAAAAACAAAAACAAAAAAAAAAACAAAAAAACCCAAGAATCTAGATAAAGAATAGAACTTATAATGAAACCAAATTACTGTAGTTACACCATTTCTTTTTTTTAAAGATTTTATTTATTTATTATGTATACAGTCTTCTGCCTGCATGCCAGCAGAGGGTACCAGATCTCATTCAAGGTGGTTGGGAGCCACCATGTGGTTGCTGGGAATTGAACTCAGGACCTCTGGAAGAGCAGTACTCTTAACTGCTGAGACATCTCCCCAGTCCACCATTTCAACCTAAATAGAACTGACTAAAGTGGTGTTACCCTGAGAGAAATGGTGTGAGTAGTACTTGGTGTGTTCTAATACAAATCCCTAGTCTCTGGAGCACATGGCCATAAAGCCTGTTTCGACTTTTTAACATATTTTTTGGGGATTATAATTACATTATTTCCACTGTCTCTTTCCTGCCTCCAAGGTCTCCCATAGCCCCTTCCTTGTGTTCTCATCCATGGCCTCTTTTTGTTTAACAACAGATCCTGTTTGAATGTGACCTGTGTTTGGTTGCAGGACCTCCCAGCTATGAAGCAAAGGGTCGTCTGTGCTAGACATTGAGTGTGTAATTGAATGTGCACATATAGGATCCTGTGCCTTGGAATAGAAACAGGAAGTGCTCTTTGAGATTGGAGGATTTTGCTAAACTACGAATTTCCCAGATTAGGAGTCTCTGACTGTAGTGTGGAAGGGCAAATCTGGGAGGGCCTGTGTGGTCTGAGTCATTTGATCTCTGCTCATGCAGTAGGGTGACTGCTAATGCCCTGAAGCCCAGCAGGGTCATCTTAACTAATGATGAACTTTAGGAAGGCTTAGCCATCAGGAACACCAGTGGGAGGTAGTTTACAGGTTCTTTCCAGGATTCTCCTCCTGTTC